CCCATCTCAGCTGTCTGCCCGCCTGCCCTGCACCCCTCCCTCAGCCATGTAACTTCTGATTTTTAGTCCACTGTTTGTATTTCTTTGCCCAGCAAGTGCCAGGCCTCCTCTGCTTGAGCTTTTTCTGTTCTTCAAACCTCTCAGATCATTCTTTACTTAACCAGCTCTAGTATTTCAGCCTTAGATCATCAACCTCAGCAACTCCATCCAACTAAATTCCAGCTCTCCCTCGCATGCTGGCTTCTTGTCCTCTTTCATGCCTAAATTGTTTTCATTTCTAGTTACATTAGCCAATTTTTTCCACCACAAACCAAAAGCTTATTCTCAAGTCCCAGCCCACCACAACTACAACTGCTGCTTCTACCATAGGCTCTTGTCCAAACCCTCTCACTTTTGTATCTCTCTGCACTGAAATACATCCATTTCCTCCTTCGCACTACCAGTACAGTCAGACATCCAAGCCCACAATTCAGGCAGCCCTCAACCCCCCAGAAGCAAAAGCCCTGTCCAGCCCTGAGCAGGAGCATGGTCCAGTAGACATGCAGTACTAAGGGAATTTCCATACCAAACTAAATCAAGTTTCTACCTGTATTTCTGACCTGTAATTTTACCTGTGTATTTTGAATGCTTTCAGCTTAACAGAATTTGAGCAGACTTTACTCAGGCAGCAAAATCTATGTTCATGACGCAGGCTACCCTGCTGCCAAATCTCAAGGTCTTGGTTTGGGTGTACAAGAACAAACTGCTGCTGGAATATTCTTAGACATAGATAGGTGACTGATTTTATTACATCAACAACGACATAATAAGTTCCATCCAAAAGACTATGAATTAGTGATAACTGAACCCAGTAAATTCTTTAAGCTGAAAGGCTGGGGACTGCTTACTAATAAATACTGGGTTAAACTGTTTAATGAATCTTCAGAACCCTTTCAAAGACTTATAAAAATATAATCTATAAAGGAGGTCTGTACATTATTAAACTGTAAAGAATTTAGGCTCAATTCCAGTGGAATTAGTCTTGGATTTCATGAAGCGTTACTCTTGGGAAAAAAAATGTGGCTAATAGAGCTCGGCAGATAATACATGTCATTTATTATTGTACTTGATTACATATTTTTTTTCTGAAAATAGTAGCACATTCGAAGTTTCTTCAGAAAAGTTCAAATCTGTGGTTGGAAATCTGGATGACAAATGCACCATGAAGTGCTAAGAAAGCGGGGTTTTTTTTCCTTCTCAGACACAGATATAATATGAAGTCAGAAGAAAAAAAAAGTAAACTCACAAACTGATGGTATGGGTAACCTGGTTAATGCCAATTTGGCACTCCTGCTTAACTGCACTGAACGAGAGGAAAAAAATAATGAGATATTTAAAAGTTTTATTTATGTGTGTGCACGTGCATGTGCACACGAGTGTGTATGTGTGCCTACATATATACTAAACTCTATGCAGGAAACAAGCATAAATGGTATGAAGGAAAACAGTTGGTAACAGTTTTAGCCTGTAAGTGGCAAAATATTTTGCAGTGAAGATAGAAATGGACTTCTAGAACTGTTTCTACAGCTCTGGCTCGGCCACCCAACAATTGCCATCTGTTTTGTGTTCTGAAGGAGATACTTCTGTCAAATAGATATGATCATATAATTAAGTACAATGACAATGTTTGAGCACAATGTAGTTGAACAAAAATTGCATACGAAATTACAGATTCCGTCCTTGGTAGTCCTTGTCATTGCAACCTTAGTCTAATTTCTGACAACTCTTGTGTACATCAGTGTGAAGTTACCTGATATTATTTCTTTTTTATGAAAAACTAGGAAGTCACATTCACAACTGTTCAGAAAAAGAATGCAAATGAGATTTACAGATAGCAATTGCAATTCAACCTTCCTGAGGACATACATTAGAAATAAGGATGACAAGAGACACATTACCAAAGATTTTACTCGTATTTGGACATAAGAATCTCAAATTCCATTCTAGATGCAGAAAAGACTTCAGTACTTGTAGGTAGAAGCCTTTTGTTTTAACCTTAATCTTCGCTTAAACTGTATTTCTGTTTCACCACCCATCTCACACCCTAACCAAAAGAAGCCAAACAAACAAAACCTGCATATCTCTCCTATCCGACTTCCGTCGTCCTCCAGTTACAGCTGTTCATCCCAGTCTTCTCATTACCCAGCTAGTCTTTGTCTCCAATCCTTAGATCTTTTCATCTGAAACTCAATGCTTACCAGTCCCAGCTGTTCTCATATTAACTCATACGATTTCTCTATTCTTTCAATGTCTTATATTCAAATGGTCCTACTCGCCTTCGTAGCTCCAGGAATCCAGATACAAAGTTCCAGCAACTCTAAATACATCATAATTCTCTACAGCAGGAAAACTTGGCCAAATTTGGGTGAACTATGATGGGAACGAAAGAAACATACTCATGGTACAAAGAGAACCCTCTGTCTGAAAGTAAGGGTAATGCAACTCTTCACAGAAAAGTTCTTCACCCTTTCTCCTGCAAATAGTACAATTAAAACATTGCTTAGATGCAAGGAGTTCTTAAAATACACACTAATGATTTTTCTAAAAACTGTATGCTTTTTAAGTCTCAGGAGAAACTTAAGTTAATATTTTCAGAATATTAATTAAGTACTTCTAATTAATTAAGTACTACACTGTCTTGTGTAACAAACTCCATGTTTCTTGTAAGGTAAATAGTTGAAATAGTGCAGAAAACTATTTGAACTTTAGAGAAAATACAAGAGAACTATTTACAGACATCTTCTTTATTTGCTCAGTTCCACATAGCAGGAACATGACAGAGAATTCTACAACTGGCATGACAGTGAAATGGTTACCTGTGCCAACCAACATTGAAGGCTATATCTTGGCAAAAAAATTTCCATTGCTGTAATTTTTCCAATAATGTATTTATTTCTCTGAAACCAGAGAAGACAGCAACACAGGATAAAAAAAAATTTATAAACTTATGTAAGTTAAAATTGTATATTTCTTAAACAGAACAAAATTAATTCATTTAATAGTTTACATGAAGTTTCAAACTGTTGTAATACCATAAACATAAGCATAGCTTAAGAGTGCCACATCACCTTCACATATAATTCTAAGAATTTTCTAGAAGTTATCATGCTCTTGGTTGTGTGGTAAATATCTCTTCTTACTCCCCCAAATCCAAATTCAACCTTAGAAAGGTATCAAAAATTTATGTCTTGAGGAGATTAAAATTAAAATACAAATCTCTGAAGTTCCCTATTTTGACAAGTAAATTAACTTCTGCTCTAGAAAAGCATAAAAACAAGAAAATTCAGAATTTGGAATGACAGTCCATCCTCCCCCTCCTCTTTTATTTAGTGCCTGATACATTACAAAAACTTCAGATTCAAGTTTGGATGTTCAAGATCATGACATTCCTGATTAAATCACTAAAAAAAGATAGTATGACGTAAGTCAATATGACTGCTTGACTCCTGAATGTTCTGTGTTTATATTTTATGCAGAAGTGAATAAACAGGAAAGTATTTAAGTTCTAGTGCCTACTTAGAAATTTTATTTCCTTTAGATTTTAATATGAACTAAGCACCTATATGACTTTCTTATGTTGCTGCAAATTCCTAACAATTCACCTAACATAAAACCTCAACACTCAAAATACCTGACATGATACAACTAGAAAAAAATAAAAATACAGTAGCAAAGTCAGTAGGCTCCTAGCAAAGCCACATAAAATTGAGGCTGGAGTGAAAGGTTCACAGCTCAAGATGCATCACTGTTGTAACCTGTCCTGGTTTCGGCAGGGATAGAGTTAATTTCCTTCCTAGTAGCTGGTACAGTGCTGTGTTTTGGATTTAGGATGAGAACAAAGTTGATAAGGCACTGATGTTTTAGTTGTTGCTAGGTAATGCTTACACTAGCCAAGGACTTTTCAGCTTCCCATGCTCTACCAACTGAGAAGGCTGCAGGTGCACAAGAAGCTGGGAGGGGGCACAGCCAAACTGGCCAAAGGGACATTCCATACCATGTGACGTCATGCTCAGTACATAAACTGGGGGAAGCTGGCCGGGGGGGGCTGCTGCTCGGGGACTGGCTGGGCATCGGTCGGCGGGTGGTGAGCAATTGTACTGTGCATCACTTGCTTTGTGTATTATTATCATTATCATATTATTATTATTATCATTTTATTTCAATTATTAAACTGTTTTTATCTCAACCCACGAGTTTCTCACTTGTGCTCTTCCAATTCTCTCCCCCATCCCACCGGGTAGGGGGGAGTGAGCGAGCGGCTGTGTGGTGCTTAGTTGCCGACTGAGTTAAACCACGACATAACCCCAGCAATATTTGGTAAGCAGCAGATGGGAAGCCATCACACAAAGGTAAAGAGAATTCACCCCTCATCAGTGCAATGCTCCTCAAATGATCACGTCACAGTGAGTTACTATGATCATGTAGAAGAGGGAATACATGTTATATGAAAATAAAAAGCAGAGGAGAGCAGACAATGTAAAAGGACAGAACTACTGAAAACATAGTGCAAAGTATACTTTGCTCTTTAGAACAAATGCTGATATAGCTATTCTCAGTAAAAGTTTCAAAGAAAGATGGAAAAACACACCACTTTGAAACTGGCAGCAGCCACATTTGAACTAAACAAAAGAGAAAAGTCAAAGTTGCCTAAGGACAGGTACCTTGTTGCACGATACAGTGACAGATAAATCCAAAGTACCCTATTGTGTCACAACTCCTAAAATGGTCTTTTTGGATAAAGTTTAACCTCAGTTTAGTCAGGACCATCAGAATATTTTTCAGAACATAACATGAAGATGTTGTTAGAGCGCTGCATACTTACTCAGCACAATGAATGCCTCTAACAAATTGCAGACTGCCGAGATACTTTGCAATGACTAACCTTGGCCATCTATATTTGTAAAAAGCAAAGAAATTAATGTTTTTAACATTTCTTTTTAAAAAGTAAAGATTGTAATTACCTGTGATATTTCCCAACATATCTTTAGTGTGGCAAATCAAATCTTCACTCTCCCCATCTTTGAAGTTGCCTATTTCTCCATAATAAAGAGCAATCCCAAGTTGCATTATACGTATAAACATCGGAAGCTGCTGATCAGAGATTGAAAGTTTCAAACTTTCAACTAATGTGTGAACCTATAACATGAAAGAGAACAAAAACAAATAACAACAAAGCTCTATCATTAAAGCCAGCTTTAAAACCATACAACTCCATATTCATTTTGTATATGCATTCTAATTTCTGAAAACAATAGCTGCAGTACAACAGAAAGCAAAGGGCTGCAAAGAATGACTGTCAAAAACACTCTTTGGGTTGCTACACAAGAGATCTTCAGGTTGAAAAGTCAAATGTAATGTATTTTGCATTTTTATTTTTTTTTTACAATTGTTGCTGAATAGATTTCTAAAACGTAAGTCACATAAGCGCATCTGATTAAACTTTTATTTTCATTGTAGAGTTTCACAAAAATCTCTGCATGCTAAAGAAATCGTAGATATACTGGTTTTAATATACAAGGTCCTTCATATTGATTCTTTCCCACTCCCAACATTGTTGCAAGAGGACAAGTAATGGGGGTGGGGGGAAGGATTAATTCCAACTGAAGTGCAGAAAACCAGCTTCTCTGGATATTCCAGTTCAAACATGCAATTAAGCAGTTTTCTCTAAATGAAAGCAAGCTTTGCAAAGACTGTAATTACTACAATGAAAGTTTATCCTTTAAATATTTTAGCCGTTATATTCAATACTTCAGAATATTTTTATGAGTATGTGATCATGCTATAAAGACAAAAACAGACGTGATAGGAAAGCTACCTCTCATTAAAATAAGAGCTGCATAAAATAAAATTATCGTAACAAAATTACTGTCTGTAACATTAGACATATTTCTAGCTCCAGGTCCAGTTTCTAAATGTTGTGGGTGAAAAAAAAATGGAAATAGAAAGTAACTACACATCAGCGTTGGCCTTAATGCAATCCAATTCAAGAAACTCAAAATGACTTTGTAAACAGTACTGCACATCCATGGGTTGGTAAAAATACAGTAGTGAAATAAATATTTGTATAAAAATATGCTAATATACTAATAAGACTTCATTAATAAATTTATATGAGCAAATTAATAAAGCCACAGCCTTAGTCATACAGAATGAGCGACAACATAGTATCAACCATTTATATAGACTAGAGAAAAGATTTTTAGGTATCAGAATTCTGCTATTATTTAAAATTCTCTGAAAGAAAACAGCATGTAAAATCCTAAGATACATTTTGGAAATTAGAAGTTAATCCTTCAATACCAGCTTTTCAGGGCCAGTTGATTAAAAGTTGTCAATAATAAATCTTTTCTGCGCAGATGAACAACAGGAAGGATAAAGAGCGAATAACCGTCTTAAGATTTGGAAGGAAAAAAAAAAAAAAGACTATTTTGCCAGAAGCCTTTTTAAAAGTCACACAAGAGGCATATATCATAGTGGAGGACAGGAACACTAGGTAGCACTGTAGACAATGATCATAATTATATAGAGGCTTAATTGAAATTATGTTACTCTCCTGGACTTATTGTATGGTACTACCGTCCCATCATGATCCTGCTCTTACATTGCCAGTGGAACTCATCTGCCTCTCAGTAAGTTGACTCACCTCACTAACAACCGGCAGAAAACTTTTTATTTCTTCTTGTCCAGTTAGCTTTCTGTCAACATAGTGAGTTGACTTAGATGACTGACAGGTCAGACAAATGGAGAGGTGTTCCATCCCCCTGATCATTTTCGCGGGTCCAGAAGAGGGCCACGAAAATGATCAGGGGGATGGAACACCTCTCCTATGAAGAAAGGCTGAGAGAGTTGGGGTTGTTCAGCCTGGAGAAGAGAAGGCTTCCGGGAGACCTTATTGCAGCCTATCAGTACTTCAAGGGGGCTTATAAAAAAGATGGGGACAGACTTTTTAGCAGGGCCTGTTGCGACAGGACAAGGAGGAATGGCTTTAAACTAAAGGGGGGGGTAGATTTAGACTAGATATAAGGAAGACATTTGAGAGGTGGTGGATGCCCCATCCCTCGAAACATTCCAGGTCAGGTTGGCCGGGGCTCTCAGCAACCTGATCTAGTTGAAGAGGTCCCTGCCCACGGCAGGGGGGTTGGACTAGATGACCTTTAGAGGTCCCTTCCAACCCAAATTATTCCATGATTCTATAAATGTCATTGCTGCTGCAAATAGGGGGAGACAGGACTGACATCCCCAGTGCAAATCAGCTCATCTGTCTCATGGTTGTCTCATCCCATGATGATTTCAACAAGAAAAGCAACAAAGCTTAAAACTCTAATCATTTTATGTGTGTTTTGCCACCTCCCCCCACGTATACTATTTTCATTCTAAAATTGAAAATAGGAGCTTAGTGTTCCCAAAAAGCACACAAATACATATCCAAGTACTTAAGAATTGCCCTCCTCTGAGAAGTCTCAACTTAAATTTAACTCATTAGTTTGGTCAAAACTTTGCAATAGACATAGTAGTCAAAATTAATACAGGTTATAAAAATATTCTAGTCCCCTACAAAGAAACCAAAAGAGCATATGCTATTACAAACACGGAAGTCTTGGAAACTTTCACTCAAGACTGAAAAACAGATGTGCTTTACCAAGTGAACAACAGAGAGTATGAAAGTTTTCATTATAGAGACCTTCACAGATTTGGAGAAAAAGATTTGAGTGCTGCTCAATCCCAGCTTTTGTCTTTAGCTGGGAAACAAACCACCAGAACACAAGCTGCTGGCATTCTGTAATCTACCCTTCAGATGCACTGCAGCTGCAGTAATTTCATTTGCAGCAGAGACTTTTAAAAAGCTTTAACCATCCTTGAATTAATTCCATTAATGAAGTAGTTGTATTTACTAGTAACAGCTCCTTTTACTTCAATTGTAAGAAAACACAGCTATTTCCATTCAATAGTTAAATATATTAAAGACAGTCTGTTTTAAAAACTGCATGCTGATGATCCACAGTGCACAATCTCCATGCATACAACAAATCAGAAAGTTGTCAAATGTAAAATTTGTGAGGGTCAACAGATTTGTAGATCTATTCATTGCATAACAGTATGGTAGTGAAATACTAGAAAAGATTTAAGATTTAAAAAAATCATTACCTTTGGACCATTCTTCTTTGGATCATAAAAAACAATTATTAATTCACTTAAATATTAATCTAGCATCATATATTTACATGTTTTTATTTAATTGAGCACATTTCTGGCTATCTTCATAAACAGTATTTTATGTTTAAAGATTGAAGAAAAAAGAAGAGGAAAAAAGGAGAAAAATTAAAAAAGAAACAGAGAAAGGCAAGTAAACTATGTGCAACAAAAAAAAAAATCAGAGTATATACAAAAAAAATATAAAAGACACTTTTGAACAAACTGAAACGTGCCTTAAAAAAGAGCAGGGGAATATATGACCACCAAAGATAACCAGAAAAGTTTAATACGAATTCAATTAAATTACTATCGCCTCAGTGCATTCTAGTATGTTTTATTTTAGTCCAGCATCCACTAAAAATTGTAAGTAATAATATAATGATCATCATTTTTACAACAGTATCATTTTTAAATATACTGAAGACTGTGTCAGCATTTCCATTAAAGTGTGCTGTCAGAGACTTGTAATTTGTCCATAAACTTTTGCTCTACAAAACTGGCATATAGGACTTCAGCTAGGTACAGATTACTTCTCCAAAATTTACAGAACTATTTGGCTAATTTAAAAATCAGACTTTTTAACATTAAGATTTACTGTCTATATGCAGTAATCATACTGTCACCACAGAACATAAAGACCATAACTGGTAAACTATAGACAGTCATATGATGATTCCTTATTATCACTGGAGTTTGTATAGATTCCGAAGTTATAAGGCACATGGTTAGAAGTCCTAATAACATTGAAGAGATAACTTCTTGTTTATAAAACTCAAAATAAGCAAATTTCCAAAATTTACACCAGTTACTCTGAACCAAAAAAAGAAAAAACAACTTTTCTTTCTAATATGCAGAATCAGTCTTTATATATCTAAGTATTAAATTAAGATATGCATATGAAAAAAATGAAATTTCTGCAAACGTACGTACTACCAGACATTTGCGTGCAAGTATCCAGTATGTAGTGACAATTCTTATCTGGATAAATAGTCATATGGCTATTACCATATCCACAAATCTCCAAATTTGTCCAAAGTAATCAAAGGCATACAGCTGTACAGCACATATAAGAAATAGGGGCATTTGTCAAATTGGACATGATTACTAATTAACTCCCAACCACAGCAGCTTAGGACTTCCTGAATCACATCATGAGTCAAACAAATGCAGTATGCCAACTGAGAGAGTGACAATTTATATTCTTGAGAAATGCCCATCAAAATTTATCTCAAAATTGACTATTTTGCAATGCATACACCTGAAGATTATTTTTTATTAAAATTTGGGAAGAGTGTGGTGTAAAGTCTGTGTCTTAATTTAAAACAGTTCTCAACTAATTACATGGGCACCACTGGTACTCTTTGAGAGAAGGAGGGAGGGAAGATGAACATTACATGTATGACTACTCAGAGCAGAAAAAAAAAAAAGCAGGAGCGAAAGGTAGTTTACTCTCTCCACCAACTCAGCAGTTTTGCTTCTGCACTGCAAAATGTAAACACGTCACCTAGTGTCAGATGTCCACGACTAATATTGCACCCCTGCTCACTAGGAACTGAGCTTGGCTTGCTAATCCATTTCACATGGTTCACTACACAGTGTTAATACACTGAAGTTTCTTGTTATTTACGAGAGTTTGAGCTACATTTGAAACAATAACACGTAAGTAAAAAATCCTTTCCATCTTATTGAAGGCACCTTAAAGCATACAGTATTTTTTTTTCTTTAACAGATTATCTGCAGACTTTTTTTTCTCTTACAATTATTATGTTTTCTATTTTAAAACTTCAGGAAAAATAGAAAAGATTAGAGAACATTACTTCCTTACTTACATGCTGTTACTGTACATAGACTAATTGCATCATATGAAAAAAACACAATCAAAAAAATCCCTTCAGCAAAAACCAACAGCATTAGCTTTTCATTTTAATTTGAATTTCTAAGTATATTTTGAAAAACCTCAAAACTTCACAAGTGAGTAGCAAAAAAAAAATCATTTTGGATACCTACTTTAATAATAGATGGCATTTTGGAGTTGAGATTATCATAAGTAAAATGCAGACGAGTCCTGAAGGAACATTTGTACAGCAGAGGTTCCTGGTAAAATTCAATTTTACCACTAGCATTTCTCTTATCAAGACATACTGTGCAGTCAGAAAAGTTGATCATCTTTCTCAGTACCAGATCGGTGGCTTTTAAAAGAAGTATATAGGTTAAGAAAACATATTGCATAAGAAAAATAAGTTATGCATACATGTTCTTATCTAGAAGAAAACAATACAAGATAGTTGTGTGGTCATTGTTTAAATCATCAGCAAAGTACTTGCTTATGTGACTAAAGAGAATAATTTAATGCGTTACAGACTTTTTCAGCTGAATACTTAAAAAGTGAGGACAAATTAGTTACACCCAATTCAAATTTTCATCCCTTCACTGTACCTTAGATGTGTTTATAAAATAAGAGTATTGCTTCATATGCAAGCATAAAACAAATAAATATTATTCTCGTTATTCTCCCAGAAAGAATCTTGCATATTTTCCCCAAAAGTTTTCTTTTGAACGTTCCAAAGCAAACAAGAGCTATTATAGTGATCTTAACATGAAACAGATTTTGTAATTTTGTTGTATTAGTTTGTAATAACTTTAGCCAGAACAAAGAAATGGGTCCAGTGGTCAGGAAACCATTAATTAAATTCCCCATTCTACCGGAGATCTTCTGTGGGATCTTAAAATACTCTTACTGTGCCCAAATTCCACCTCTACCAAATGTCAGTAAGAACACCTAGACTTACAGGTGAACGTTGGTAATTCAAAGACTGAAACATTCAGATACTGAAGACCAAGATAAAAATCAAAAAGTTGGGCTTTTTTTCCTGAAATGTGAAGCAAAATGAAACACGTCTTGCAATTGGTATGCCATGCTCACTACAGTGCAACACGTTTTACTACCTGTCTAGCCAGCCTGTTTAGAGAATCTTAAGATCATTACAAACAATTGCAACGCTTTAAGATGCTACTGCTCATTCACAAAAATAGAAACAGACTGCCTAAGCACTCACTGCCAGCAGCAAGCACAAAATGAAATGCAATCACAGAAGGATGGCAAGTATGAGCAGAGAGGACTACAAAACGTGTTGTATAATTATCTGTGATCATACAAGTTGCTTTAAGAGTCAATCTATATTATTATAATTGACTTTTCAAAATGAAGGACAAGGGGAAGAAATTAAAACAGGCAGAAGTATCTTACTTCTGACATAAAGAGCCATTTTTATTAGACTTGCAAATTTCTATATGAATTTAAGAGTGCCTCCACTGTGATACCTAAAACCAAAAATATCTACTCACCAGAGATGTCCATAAACGCTCGATCCCAAAACTCATCCACTGTATAGCATTCTGCAGAAGTGATATTGACTGAGAGAACAATATCATCCTCTACATATTTTAATATGAGATTGTTGATCACAATGTTGACATTGTTTACAACACGCCTAATCAAACTCTGAACATAACCTATAAAATAAAACAAATTCTTAGTTATAAGGAAGACATGATGCCAAATTCATTTATTACTGAAGTCATTATTTCCAACTTGTAGTCTTTTTTAAAATCAAAACAAACCAAGTATCGTTGTCCTTTATTTATCCAAAAATCACAGGACTTAAAACATTCAGTGCAGTCAGTCAATCAGCATCCCAGAAATGAAATAAACTATACGAAAAAAAATTGTAAATACTGGGAATATAATATAGCGTAAGAGATTCATTTTTGGTGGCAAGAACCAACTTTCAAACTAAGTAAGAAAACGGAAGACTCCGGATTAGTGTAGACAAAGAATTTTAATGACAGTGACTTTTTTACTTGAAAGATACTTAGAAATAGGTTTGGAAAAGTGAACACCAGTTGCTAGGTTACTTTTCAAGTATGCATATATTACGCCTATTTGCCCCCTCACCTAGTTTTTTTAAAAGTTAACTAAACATTAATATGCCTAGTACTTTTTTTTTTTTCATTCTAAAAGCTAATATATCTACATCATGCTCAGTAAGACCCCTGTGAGGTATAACAAAATCAATTTCTGTCAACAACCCAAATAGTAAGCACCTGCACTGAGGCCTGTTGGGAAGAAATCCATTTAAATTTTTTCAGACGTAATGTGATTGGAAAAGTGATCTCGTCTGTGAATTCCCAGTATGCGGTAAACACTCATATTTTACCGATATGGTAAAGAAATTAAATATTACCCATATTCATGTCTTTTATGTATATGGAATGTAACTATGGAGCTAACTCATTTGTGCTGGAAAAAAAACAAGCCTTAAAATTTCTGTATTTTAAAATTTATAGCATTACTCACATTCTATCTAAAAATACATTTAATACGTGCTATAGAGGTCTAGTTATGTAACTAGGCTGAAAAAAAGCCAGTTAATGATACAGGTTTAAATCCACAGGCTTCCAGAGTAGTTTTTTCAAACTTGCATTAAATAAGACTCATTTACATCAACAATTTTAATTCAAATAAAACTTAAAATGAACATCAAAACATTGTAAAATCCGTAGGAGCAGATTCAGGTTGCTACTTCAATTCTACTCTGCTTTTTCTAGATATTCATCGTTTTCACACTCAAATATTACTTTTCACCTTAGAGTATATGGAACAATTTACCATTACATAAGTGATTTTCTTGAGTTTCACAACTGCAAATTTACACAGTTGATATAAGACGTTTTTCCTTTTTCAGCGTTCAAAGCCTCCAACCACCTATCTTATTAAATGCAAAACATGCTTTCAGCTACCATTAGCAGAATATTTTGATTCTGATCAGGTACATGTCTATGTTTTAAAAGTATTTCGATATTAAAAACTTAATTATAAAACACATATCATGTTTCTTATCATAACTCAGCCTGCTTCATTTTATACTATTCTTAGGCATACATCACCCTTCGAGCAAAGCTAGTTCCAACAGGACAGAAATAGCATTTTAACATCTCCTGCCATCTTAACAGGATTGTAATTGTATAAAAACAAAATCTGGAAAATGTTGTAGACCATTGTCTACAGAAACAGGAAATCCAGAAATGCAGTGAAAGTCAAAATTTTGACAGCTTAGTACCGTCAGATTTCTAACATAATCTGAATTTACCTTTTTAGCTTATCAATCTAAAAAAACTAATGAAAAATATGTGGAATAACTTGTTTTTAGGAATTTTCTCACTGACTTTTTAAAATGGTAACATATTTTTAGGTTATATGAATTCAGAAAACCAGACGTATTATTTCAATAATTAAGGGACATAGGAGACCCACATTCATCACTAGAGTGGTGTAAACCAACCTGTATATAAATAGAAGCCAGCACAAAGCAAAATATTGAAAAAAAAAAAAATTCTATGCTGAATTTTGCAGACTATGTATCTACCAATTATAAAATCATAACCAGTAATTTAATTATGCTTTTAAAGCAAGCTACTAATTTCATTGAAGAAAGTGAAGCTGTCCCTCCACAGGTCCAAAGTTTTTTCAATATTTGCTTTCAAGGGTCTTTCAAAGTTAATCTAATTTACATTTTCCTGCTGTGAGCAACAAAAATATTACAAATCCAGCATCATAGCAGAAAAAAAAAAGCTACTTCTACTGATAGTTTCCAGCAGTATTCAGGAAAAGAGCAACAACACTTTCATCTGTCTGTCTTTTTGCTAGAATGCATAAGAAAAAGGAGCAGAATTATATCTTTCAAATTAAACAGGAGTCACGGATTTGATAAAAACTGTTTCACACTTCGGTGAAGACATTTCCAAACTAGTGTTGCAGTATATTGTTAGAAGTACCATACAGGTACCAGCTTTCTAATTAAGTTTAGCTTCAAATATACTAGAATCAGATTCTCATGAGTGAGGATCAGTCTTTTAAGAAAATGAATTTAAATTGTAATTCTTACTATTCAAAACAAAGTAATAAAAACATCAGCAAGTTCATATATAATACAGTTTAAGAAAAAAAAGGGGGGGGTGTTTTAAATACAAGCGTGAGAAAACAGGTGGGGGTTGCTTCCTATTCCTGTAATTTTTAAAATACAACACTATGACCATCTTTGCCACTAAAATTCAGGTATTCTATGACGAAGTGACTAAAAATACTAGAAAATTTGTAGGGGTAAATTCTCTCCAGAGGTGCAACACAAAATCCACATATATGCTCTTTCCAAATTCTCCAGAACCCAGCAGGCTGCACTGTGCAGTAAGAGCTATGAATGCAGTTTCAGATCCAACCCTCCAAAATATTGTAGCACTATAGTCCACAGAGTGGTCTATTGGTTCAACAGAATTGATATCATCAGACTGGTCACATCTAAACATCTTAATTTAGCAGTGCTCTATTGTTACCAAAGCTACATTTTTAGCTAAGCTCTGCCTAGCTCCATCTCTGAGAACCCAGCAGAGCTAAAGGACAAATAAATCTTTCAACAAATTACAACAGTAGTATGATACCTATATCCTCCAAAGACTAAAGCAAATCTAAGCAGATAACATCTTACTAAAATCGAGGATGCGCAAAGCCATATCCTATACCACAGAGATTAAAATCTTCCTATAAGGAGGCCTCTACTCCTCATGGAGGCTGTTTGCCACATAGAACCTCTATATTAAACAGTGTTATTTATGCATCAAACAACAAAACTAAAACCAACTGTATTTAGAGAACTTCACCACATCGGAAGTAACCTACAGTCCATTCAATGAGGTAAGATTTCACTAATGCTCTCTGAATCATTAGACTTCACTACCAACACACTCTATGCAGTTGAAGGAGGAATGTGATGACAATTAAGGAGGTGATAGTGCCCTACAGTTTCACAGAAGCACAAAGTACATCTACAGAATCTATTAAATAGTAACATAAGAAGGCACCAGATCTAGTAATTTGCTACAGTACTGCAAATGCAATATGTGCAATTCATATGAGCACATTAATCATTAAGAACCACAATATATTCATAAGAGATGACACGCAAACCAATTTTCAATGTGTATGTTGCATCTGCATCTGTGGAAACACATCTTCTGGAACGTTTTAACTTCATCAGATGTCAACATTACAATAAGCAGACCTCTAGCCTTTCACTAAGACTACACCTTTCTGGGAGGTCCACAGATAACACTGACAGAAACAAACCTAAGGAACGAAAATCCTAGAACTGTCACTGAAGGCAATATAATCATACAACTCTTTGGCAAGCCTTTGACTCCTATTGTTCACAGGTGAGACCCAAAGAACCAAACACCAAGGAATGCCAGAGCTAAAGCGCTGTCCATGGTAGGAGACAGTGGATGCCAGAAGTCCTGCAATTCCAAGCCACCAGAGTTTACTGGATCTCAGAGCTTTAAGAGAGCCTCCAGATCTAGCTCCTCAAGTACCCATTCCAAAGCAAGATGATAGTCTGTAATACATAAGGTTCCACACACTAAATTTCAATGTTCTCTTTTGATTCGAGGCAAGTATAAACTTTCCGTTAACAAAAGACAGACAAAAAGCCTAACACAAAACTGTCATGTCTTTAACCCACCTAAAATTACATGCCCCAAGAAGGCAAATGGCAATTCATTCCAATACTCTCCAATTTAATTTTTCTGCACAAAACAACACCTCATACTCCAAATTTCTGTGCAAACTCAGAGGCAATAGTAATCAGATATATAGTTCCTTCAGCATTTTTATATCCTATAAATATCTCCAAGTTCAACTGAGCCAAATTCCACATCAGAAAAAAAAAAAAAAAAAAGTGGTGAACATCTCTACCAGTAGATACAGGACTGACTCTATAAGAAACCTCTCTCAGAATTATTACTCTCATAAAGAGAAAACCTTACCTTTAAAACTATTATAAGAATCTGAAAACAAAATGTCTGAAAACGTACAAGAAAAGAACTTAATGTGAACCACTGAGCAGTTAATGGCAGTAGAAAACAGAGTGATCTGAAACAGGAGAACCAGAGCAGCAGAGGATAAAATCTAACACACTGCCCCTACAGTACGTTTCTCATGCTAATCTATCTTGCGCTATAAATGAGTTCTGTAAATTTAAGGATTGAACAAAATGGAAGGAGAAGATATAAGAACTATATGTTTTATTGCAATTTGGTTCTATTTTATAGTATTCAAGTATTTCACTCACCTTTACATGATTTGTAGGTGGACAGAGATATAATAGTCTAACTTAAGACATTGTGGCCACCTGAATAAAATTTAGATATTTTCTATCACTCAAATACAATCCAGCTTCTGAAATTATGGATTACCTGGAGGTAAATCAGGGTCAGGAGAAGCAGACTGCTGAACTCGTCGTGGTTTTACTGCAGATTTCATGCTTTCCGTGGTACTGCGGTTTGTTGAACTGGAGCCACAACTTTCGTGGTCTTCCTGCTAGAGGAAAAGAAAGCAACTAAGTCAACCAAACAAAAAGAAAATAAAGGTGGGGAGAACAAACGACTTGGTAAAGATTTGGTAAATTAAACTTCTGTTACTGTTTTTCCATCAATTCAATCCTGTACATGCATCTAACTGCAGAAATTATTACAAAACTAGCTGGACAACATAAAAAAATCATTTGCAATTAATACTTTCACTAACTTTTATTTAAAAAAACCAAACACCTCAGTCATTTAATTAAGTTCAATTGAACACATTTCATCTAGCTGCATTTCTACTGAAACGCTGCTTCAGAGACAGCACCCTGCATACTACCAAAACAAATATGAGAAACCTCCGAATTTTATGAGCTTACATGCCTACTCATGAAACCACCTCAGACAGTTCCAAGATGTCAGAATCATGTCCTTCCTAATACAGCTAATTGAAGCTGATTCACAAAGCAAAATATTTTGGCAGACTTCTAAAATAGTAAAACATGGCCCCAGAAAAGGTAAATGAACTGAGGGTACCTGCTCATCTTGAGTTTCTATATAGCTTATTCACCTTAAGGAATTCAGAAGCAGGAAACATGGCTCATAATTAGAGAACATGATACAAGCTTTACAAGATTAAATTCGCAGACACAAGAAAATCTTCATTAGCTGAATTTAGGGTTTTAAATACCCCACTAGTGTTCCCATTACATTCCAGAACGACAGTTTAACTACAAGACTCAAGTACAAGAAAGCCAAGAAAAGTAATGCAAATATTCTTGTAAGTGTATTAGAAGAGCAGGTTAGAGAGGAAGCAAATTCGTACAACTTTTGACCCAAGCCAATTTATCTCTTCAATAGATGTAGTCTTTTGCAGAAAAAAAGCAAAATGCTCTCTGGGTCATAGCACTACTAAGATCACACAATGTGTTCACAAAAAGAAGGGTTTGGGGAACAAGTGTCCAGTAGCGCAGTGAGAAGCTAAAGTAGTCTTAAGCCCTCTAATCACCAAAAAGCAAGTAGTTTAAACTGTGCTGGGCTTTTGTACAGGACAGATTATGTGTTTCCCTGCATGCTGCCTGGCATTTTTAAAATCTCAGAAAAGTTAAAAAATGGAATCTTCACATTACTTGCTTCTTCATGTTTTTTGCATGAAGAATAAAAAAAAAAAAAATTACATTACATGTAACAATACATTTTAAAACAGAGTCTACAACTTCAAAAACAATCGAAGAGAGAGTTTCTTTCCTTCCACTCCATATTTAGAAAAACAGAACACAGAGAGAAATTATCTGATAAAGTGAAAATACCATTTCACTAAGAAAAAAAATGATGAACCATATAATCTTAGCTGGGGAGGGGGGCGGCAGTGAAGGGAATAGAAGGCTGAACTTATCTGGAGAAATTGCAGAAGACAGACCCGTTCGTACATTGGAAGGGTAGAGATAACTTCTAAAAGAAGGATGAGTTACCATAAACGATTTGAGATTTTCCAGTCATTAATATAGTACTGAAACAAGCTGTTGTTTGTTTTTTAATTCGTGGTTATTTGGCCATTTCAGTCATACAGGACTTTCCCATTCCAATGTCTGAAAAAATGAAATGGGTGTTTAGCATCAACTCTGTTTGGAGGCATTTGTTTGCTTTATCACCTCTGACAACCTTCTGATGCTTTTCTTCGAGGAACGTGAGTCTCCTGAAGACACTCTCAGAACTTGTAACTACAGTGCAATTTCATTAGAAAGCCACCACTCTCTTCACAGCATACCTGAGCAATAACGACAGCTTAAGGCTCTTGCTTTATATTTAAATCTGGGGTGACAGAAGCCTCTTCATCAACGTGTATATTTTGTAATCAGAAAAGCTCACCTCTCCTTCACATCTCCAGCTGACTGAGAAAAATTAGATTATAGACTTTTAAGCTAAAATTTTTGAAATAACTTTTAACCATACCCTCTTTCTTGGAAACTAGTTCATATGTAGCATGAAAATATTTTTTCAGATGAGTCACCATACTGCTATTTATGTTTTGAACTTGCAAAAAAAACCAAGATGTCAGAGTGACCAAAGAGCCCAATTAGCACACTTCCTTCTTTCCTGAGCTCACTTATGGATTGTACAGAATGCTGTGGTGCAACTATTTAATTATTTGATCTGATAGGATCACATTACGTTTGCCTTTTAATATTTATGTTGGCTACAAGAAAAAGAAAGGGGGGCCGGGGGCATGGGGAAGGCATTCTGTTTTTGAAGCGTTAACTGTATCAAGCCTGACTACATTGAAGTCTAACTTTTCTATCTGCATACTGACATGACCATGTTTAATGAATCTTCTCATAACTTCATGCGATATCTATGCAATGTTTTAATCATATAGAGTATTACTAACACCTAAAGATGAAATAAGAGTGGTTTAAGCTTTTACCACTTTCAGAGAGTTAGGAATACACACTAGCTCATGGGGTTTGGGGACAGGACATGTTTTAAAGGAAAGGGGCAGAGAACCCTTAAACACTGTTAATTTTGAAAGAAAGTCTCAAATCTTAACCTATAAATAAATTCAATACAATAAGCTTTTTGTATTTCCCTGAGCTACAAGTCTGTTGTGATGGAAAATGGCTGTAATCATTTAGAGCAAGTTGGACCTAAAAGTAATCAAAATAAAAATGCACATGGTCCAAAATGGTGCCAAAATGCAACACATAAATTTTATCTCAGAAATATACCTATGTGACTTAATCCACATGAAGTAACAGAGTATACCTACATTTAAGAAGAATTCAACCTGACCAAACATTTGAAAAAAAAGGTTTTTTAATCTGGGATAACATCCATTCATTTCCTTACATTACACAATTATCAAAAAGGTTTTAGAGCTGCATGGGGGTTTTTTGAGCGTGAAAACACACCATTTTTCACAACAGCTACTGATACTTTATAAAGCAAATGTTGTATTCTTTAATTACCGGAAGATGATAACTGTGGCCATGACCTTATAGGAATTACATTCCTATGTAGACGTATATCCAAAAGCTTTCTGTATCTGCACGCTTCTGCTCAATGTTAACTTTAAGAGCACACTATTAATTTCTCAAACATGAGGCTGTCTCATAAGCCCAGAAGTAAAACATGTTCATTAAAGAGATGGGAAAAAGTTCCAAGCAAACTGCCAAAACTAGCATAATTATGAAACTATTTAACACTGGAACCAACTAGAGTCACACACTGTGTCTAGATCACAGTGATGTCATCAGAAACACCCGGCCAAAAGGCACTAAAACTACTGCACTACCATAAATCCACCTCACACCAGATGACAAACATTTTAAAGTTAAAGTCAAAGTTCTACTGGGGGTGGGAAGAGAGTTACATTCTAAAAGTGCTAGTAACTATAGCTATAGTATGAGATTTGATAAATGCCCGTTCAATTTAGCATTAACAAGGGTGATTCCAAACAACAGTCACAACAGTGGAGAACTAAAAACACTCATGATGTATCTAGAGAGATGATTTTTAAAGAAAATAACACTCATTTACAAAAATATCTTTTCCCACTAGCTTCTGTTATAAGTAAAGCCTAGAAAACTTAAAAAATTTTAACATGAGGTCCTGCTTATAGGAGTTCTTACACAAATGTACCTTGGATCAGGACAAATAGAAGTTTGCACAACCAGGCTCCTTCTTGCCTTTTGGCAGATGTGTCAGCCCAGGTACTCGGCTGAAATATTGTTAAACAGCACTAAGTGCTCGAGCCTCACCGCCCAAGCCACAGAAGGCAAAGGCGGGGACTGGGAGAATGAAGAGCCACCCACTGTGGGAGAACATCAGGTTCAAGACCATCTAAGGCACCTGAAGGTGCACAAGTCCATGGGACCCAATGAGATCCACCCGTGGGTCCTGAAGGAACTGGCAGATGAAGTTGCTAAGCCACTATCCATCGCATTTGAGAAGTCGTGGCAGTCCAGTGAAGTTCCCACTGACTGGAAAAGGGGAAACATAACCCCCATTTTTAAAAAGGGAAAAAAAAAGAACACCCAGGGAACTACAGGCCAGTCAGTCTGACCTCTGTGCCTGGGAAGACCATGGAATAGGTCCTCCTGGAAGCTCTGCTAAGGCCCATGGAGGACAGGGAGGTGATTCGAGACAGCCAGCATGGCTTCACCAAGGGCAAGTCCTGCCTGACTAACCTAGTGGCCTTCTATGGTGGAGTGACTACATCAGTGGACATGGGAAGGGCTACAGATGTCATCTGTCTGGAC